TCTGTGAAACAGGAAATCAAGTGATCCCGATCTAGACCGGAGATCGATTGATCATGTGATCCGGAAAATCTCACCTATATTCTGGATTTGTCACTAATTAGTAACAAAAATAACTTTTCGAATTGAGCATTATATCTAATCTTGAAATCCAATAATCAGAATAATAACATTAAAACAGTTTAAAAATAAGAATGCAACATGTAATCTAACTCTTGATCCCCAAATTGATTTGTCTTATGCCCACTAACCAAAAAAGTAAGGTAATTAAGTTCATTGTCACGTATAGACTTAAACATAAAGAAAATAATAATTCCAAAATAGGTGGAATTATGTTAAGGGCTATACAAAAAAAATAAAATCAGAAGTAAATTTTCATGGCCTTTACTTTCATATGAAAGGAGAATAGTTAATATAGTAAAATCAAGTCAAAAAAAATAAATAAATAAAAAAATACTCTTTAAAGTTCTAAGCCCCAATTAATTAGATTCTTCTATTCATTCTTGGAATCTATAAGGTAAAGTAGATAGAGTAGAATTTAATAAACTGTTTTGCAAATATTATAAAAGAAGCATATAAATTGAGTTAATAAAACTTCACAATTCGGGTTGTTAATAATCTGAAGAGTTTTTTACATACTATTTTATTAAGATATATAATTAAATAAAAAAAACCTTGCATTGTAAGGCTTGTTTTGATAAATTCATATCAACCATATTTCAATGTTGCCATAGTAATCCTTCTTATTCTGTCTATACCCAGTTTTGTAATATAGGTCGTATTAAAAAAGTAAAAGAGCAAAGAAAACTTAAAAGTAAAGATAAAGATAACTTACCAATTGATGATGATGCATATAATTTGGAGGATGAAGAAGTAGCAGAACAGTATTTAGAAAGCTTATTCAAAATGCTCAAAAATGGATTTTAGTAAGAATTTACAGAGATATACTGGAAATTCTGATTGTACGAGACAACAAAGATTATAACAAAACTATATAAATGCAGTAGGGAGTTATAAAATAACCCAGTTTTTTGGACAAGTAAATAACTTAAATTCGAATAATGATTTCATGGAAGACCAGCAATCAGATTCAGAGAATGATTATAATTTTGAGCTTGAAGAAAAATCATTAAAGTGGAAGCAAAAACTTCAAGAAACTGGGAAAAGGATACAAAGTTTAATAGACACCACAGAAATATCAAAGACAGATAAGGTAAAATATGTTTCTGTAATCTATTATATTTGACTTCTTAAAATGAATCATCTAAAATGAAAGCAAGTCAAATTGTGACAACTATTCATAATGGTGGTGAGTATCATGCTAGATGTATATGAGTGTGGAAAAAAAGATATCTGGAAGGTAATCTCTTACCTCCATCTCAATGTGAAAAGCACCCATCACAATCACTTTTTCATAATGAAGATGTCTTATTAAAAATAGCAAATTATTTAAGAGCAACAAAATTTAAAGTAAATCCAAGACTTGTTAAACAATACTTTGAAAATAATATTTTATCTAAACCTTATATTGATCAAGCACAAACTATTTCTTTGACTACAGCATGGCATTGGATGAAAAAAATGGAATTCTGTTATAAGAAGTACCAAAAAGGAAATGGCTATGAAAAGAAAGATGTAGTCGATATTGTAAAATATTTCTACAAAATATAGCGGAATATGAAAAATTAATGTCTAAGTGGACCAGTGTTAATTGTAAAGTTTGTGAAGAGCCTTATCTCTTACTTGGTGAATGAAAACATATTCTAGTTATCTATGATAAATGTGTATTCTATTCTTATAATAGCACCCATGAATTCTGGGCCTCTGAAGGTGAACAGCTGTTAAGAAAAAAAGGATTCAGAAAAGGGCTTCATGTTAGTGAATTCCTAGTAAAAACAATTAGAAGATTGAAAGATGAGGAAGGAGAAGCAAGAGTAACAATACAATTGGGTGCGAATAATGAAGAATATTAGAATGGTGAAAAACCACTCTCCCAAGTAAAAAATATTTAAGAGGACTCATTTAGAATATGTTGGGGTTTGGACTTTTGATAATGCCACCAATCACACACTTATAGCACCTAATGTGTTAGTAGCTGCTAAAATGAACTTAAAACCTGGTGGATTGTAGCCAAAAATGAGAAATACTGTATGAAGTGGAGAAACCTAAAAAATAATATTTCTAGAGGATTATGAAGATGACTCTTCTTTATGACTAGAACCAAAAGGAATGAGACAAATTCTTAGAGAAAGATATCTTTGGAAGGTAGAATGTTAGCAGACTGTAAGATACATAAAAAAGACAGGCTGAATTCTGATGTTGTAGATTGTTGTGTATAGCACTTTATTGCAAACTAGCCAGATTTTCTAAATGAACATGGATTAATTCAATGAGAGATTGAAAAATGTGATTATAAAGTAAGTAAATTACCAAATACAGTAAAACCTCTATAAGTATATGCTCTTGAAAACTTAATATGTACGTATATACATATATATTAAAAAAAGTGTATTTAAAGAGGTTGTATATATTTTTTGATCAAAATTTGAGTGTACTATGTATTTATTGAGGTTTTACTGTATATGAATTTACAATTAAATAATACCAGTAATTCTTGTCTTAGGTGATTTTCTACTCTAAAATTTACCTGGAACTCAATTATATTGAAACATATTAGAGTGCGGCAAAATGACATGCTCGAAAAAACTGCAATTATATATAGAAGAGTTTACAAGAAAATGTTCCAATTGTACTTGACTCCGTTCCAGTTGAAAGGATCAAAAAACATGCAAGACTTTCTTACCAATAGATGGATGCCTATCGAAAAGAGTTGACAGGCCGAGCAGCTGAGTATGCTGTTAAAAAACAAAAAAGTCATTATTCAATTAGTAAGATAGATTTGGTTAAAAATAACGATTAGTTTAATTTTAAACATTTTTAGATTTTCTCAATATTGATAAATATGAATAAATATGAATAAATATGTATATAAAACATTATAAAACTCGTGAAAAAACATTATAATGAATATATAGTATTTCTTTTGTAATTAATATTTGTAGTTGATTTTGCATAGTTGATTTTTATCAACTTAGCAGGCTTAGTTAGCTGATTTTCCAAAAAATCAACTTAGTTGATTTTATGTAAAATTATATTAAAGTAACTAATCAGATTCAATACACTACCTCTTTTAGTATATAGTACTAAAAGTAAAGGCTAAAAATATTGAAAAGAAAATTAATAAACATAAAATACAAGACAAAATATCTGATAATTCCAGAGGTAAAAAATATTAATTGACTTTGACCTAGTCAGCTAAGCCAAATTTTAAATATCAACTTAGTCAAGTCAATAAATAAGGATTAACTACAAATACTAAAATTTAAAATAAACTAATTTTCAATTTTTATATAAAATTAAACCTCGTCACAATTTTTATTAAATGAATTCAATTATTTTATTTCTAAATCTGTAATTTTTTTTACATTACTTCTAATATATTCATTCTTCTAAAAAATAAAAATTGATAGAAGTAATAATCTATAATTATATGTCTAATGAATGATCCAACCATTTTTCGCAATATAAAAGGATAAAAAAAATATATGAAAACAATAATAAAATGAGTAAAAAAATTAAAAATATTTTTTCTACACTTCCTTGTGCCTCAAATTTATCAAACTTATTGTCAATTTCTTCAATTCTGTTCATTATATTATGAATGTTATCCTTAATTAAATCTTGTTTATTTATAAAGTATCTTTCGATAATGCAATTTATTTGCTTAATATCAGTAAATAAAACATAATTTGGCAAAGTTTCACCTTTTTTCTCAGCCATCTTTGAAAAACTGTAATCAACTGACATAGTATAAATAATTACAGTGTTGTCTTGTGGTAATTCATTAATAATTTTAGTAAGTTGTTCAATATCATTAATATTGATTTTCCCATCATCTGTGTTGTTGCAAAAAACACAAATGATATGTCTCTCATAAGTTCCCACCAAAAAATTGCTGTGACTATAAAGAAAAAAGAAGTAAAAAGATAAGTAATCATCATCAATTGCATCCTATTCATCACAACCTCTGCACGAAGCAGGACAAGCTTTTTGGGTATGTACAACAGAGAAGAACATTTACAGACATTTGCCTGTAGCCACGATGTGCTTCCAGTTCTTCGATACCTCCCTAGTGGCAGTGTAACTTCAGATACATAACAACAAGAAATTTACTTAGTGATTTCTAACCTAAATTCCAGATTAATTTTATTTTGTCTCAGAAAAGCTGAAACTTCTTGGATGAAAACTGTTGTATCATCTTGAAATAACATTTGCTTCAAAAGAGTGATTTCATGAATTAAAGAGTTCTTGTTGAATTTGTTGAATGCACAATATAGGACCAGTTGTTTTTAAAATAAAAGAAGACAGATTGATAATCATTATTTCAGTATTTATCATATCTTATATTAACCAAATTTGGACCATCAAAATTGATTACTAATTTCCGGCCAGAATTAATTTTTTAATTTTTCCATTACAAAATAGAAATTCTTAAAAAATAATTTTCACTTAATGGGCGGCTATGATTTCATTAGTAAAATTATGAGTAATTCCGGCCTAATTTTTTTGATCGTCGCTCTTAGCCAATCAAAATCGAGAATCTG